TGACACCACATTCTTTTGGGTGCCAACTTTGGCACTGATTGTTGAATACATAGTAATTTAAGGTTCCTTTTAACATAGTATTATTTCATCAAAAATCAATCAGTGCTGGACTTGCATGTCACTAGTCGTGCCACTATCACAAAATTACAGTTCCATTATATTTTCTGAAGCCTATTGCCTCCCAGAAATGGGAGAAAAAGGTTTCTCGAGGTAGCAGAAGGCCTAGTTTTGACATATTACCCATCATTTTAAATTGAGGGAACAATACATGTAAAATTCCTCTAAAGTAATTATCAAAGAGATGCACCGATAAAATAAGTTTCTGATGAGTTTGAATGTACTGGTTACAATGAAAGAATGTGAAGCGTTTAACTGAACTAGCTACCGTAATCTTTTAAGACTATGGATAATATTAAGAACTTTTATGCACTTTAAACAAATATCGGTAAGAGGCTTGAACATCCCTGTACTTACACTCTTGTATTGCCCACAATACAGTTTCCTCTTTGTTAAAGTTGCTACTGGTACTAAAAATAAGTTTGAACTTCCTCAATTAAACAACGTCGAATTTGATAGCTGAATTTCATGTGACATAACGTTTTTTTCTTACCAGAATTGTCAGTTTGAATTTAATGAAGTCATTTTGTACCTGAACTTTACTGACATGGCAGACCATACACACCTCGTGTATCCTTTTGTCAATGTTCTACTGCACTCAGTTACATGCCTGAGTAACAGCAAATTATCAATACATATGATATTTCAATTACCTGGTAACCACACCGTGTAGGTGAGATTTATTGTTTTGACATATGGGTTGGTTTCAGCATACGTTTGTTTCCGGTTTATTGCCTGAATAAAGTTTAAATTAGAAAAATCTGAACTGTGATCCAAAAAAGGTGGGAAAAGTTACCTTTTTCATTTTTTTTCTAAATTTCGTTAAAGCTTATTTCAAATTGACAAATGAACTTTAAAGTAAGTTAAAAGTCGTAAAATAGGAGACTTGATTTACAGTTTGAACACAATGTTTACACAGATTGACAATGACAGCCATTCCCTATTTAGAATTATGTGTCACCAAAAATCATGTCACTTGTCAAAAATCAGCTGATTTTGTTTATTTCTTTTTTATAACAGAAAACCACGTCAATAGTTTTTCATTGAGAAATTACAAAGTATAATTCAACCCCACACAAGTTTTCAAAATTCAAATGATTATTTCAAGGCTTTTGTTTAATAATAAGCTGTACTTTGTAATTTTTTTTTATAGAAATTGGAATAAATTAATTTTTTCAGGTGAGCGTTAACGAATTAAATATTCTGTTTATTATACAACAACAGGTGCAATATTTGCATGAAAGAAACTTTTTGTCCTACAAATTAAACGGAGATACATGTACGAAAGCTTTAATATAGCTATCTTGAATATCTTATTTCTCTTTCAACGTAAATTACAGAGCTTAAAATACTAGACCACCTGTTTTAGGAATCGTTGGATGCTCAAAATAAGCATACATTTATGCATTCTAGAGAAAATGGAGATTTTTTCCCCATTTTTTCTTCAGTTTCTTCAGTTTGCTGAAACAAGAATATAAGCAGTCTCGTTTAAAGTCATCATTTCAAAAGTTCTATGGTTGATACAATGACCTTGTCAGCAAATTACAGTTTATCTTTAAGTCAAATGCTGACTGACATTTTTCATACTAATTGTTAGGCCATTATATACACACTGAATAGATAGCTTTCCTATTTCGCCTTGGAGTTATCCCCTTGGCCACCATCTTGACAGAGGTCGACAGAGTTGTGAATTTTCCTCTCTGACCAACCAGGGACCTATATACTAATACAGTATATAGGTCCCTGGACCAACCAACTTTAAATATGCATGCAAGAAATATATGAGGAAAAATATTTACAATATTGAAATTATGAATAAAAAAGTCTATAACAAATGTATATTCACAACAAAACCAGTATTATCTTCACCTCAGTGGCCAGTTTATAACAAATTGAACTTGGTTGAATAATGAAGGGATCTATGAATGTTGCCCTACAATATGGTGGTCATGGAGAAATGACTCTTGCTTAAATCGCATTGATGGAAAACCATCTAATGTTGATGGATTTTTCAATTATTTCCCGATTATGACAAAGAGCACACGGCGGATGTGACCGGTTGGCAGGGGATGCTCACTCCTTCGTGGCATCTGATCCCACCTCTGATGTTTTGGAGGCCAATGTTTGCTCTGCTTCTATCTTGTATTGTTTAATGAACTCTTGAGTTTGATAACTGTTCGTCATCTCCACATATTTCATAAAATTATTCGCGGTTTTAGATGAGAATAACATACTTAGTAAATAAATGCACATCTACATATTTATTCAGGGAAGACTTTGCTGTAATTGCATAAGATTTCTTTCTTGCAGCTGAATAAAGAAAAAACAGCTCTCCTGCTTTACCTCGTATGTGTAGAGAACTACGGTAACACATCAAAAATCAGCTAATGCACGAATAATTAAACATTACATCATGTTTATTTTATAGATAAAATGACTTTGTGCTGAATAAACTTCATTTATTTTGTTTATATTTATATTCAGTCAGCAATAAGCCCGGCTAAAAATGCAAAAAAAATATCTGTAATTGAACCTGAGGAATCCATGGTTATTCTAGAAAATGACTTTGTGCTGAATAAACTTCAATTTTGTTTATATTTATATTATTTTCAAAACCACTTTAAAACAGAATTTCTAACCCTACGAAGAAAACCATTATTTGTTTTACATTAAAGTCAATGACTTAATCTATTAAATTAACAAAGAACGATTTAAAAGGGTTAAAAGGTGATACTTGAGAAATATACATAGATAAAAATTCGCAGACATTCTGCTTTATCTAACTACTCTGGCGCTAAGGTGTAAAATTTTTAACGTTGTTTCGTTCTAGGTTATCGGAAAAAGGGCTGCGTAAACAGTAATAATCAATATTAACGCAGCTCTGTGTTTGCGAAATGTTTTATAATGGTCTTTTTAAAGTGTCTTTCTTTAATTACTTCTGATTCACGTGCAGTGCTGTGAGGTATAATCATTTTATATGAAACTATACATATCGATATCACAGCATGTGTGTCTCTTCTTTCTGCAGCAAAAATTGTCAATGTTCTTGCATTTTATTTCTTACATCATTTACTTTTAATAAATGAAATATTACACTTTTATATGATGTTATTTTATTTTATTTATTTATTTATTTATTTTTTTTTTTTTTTTTTTTTGCATGCTTTTAACAAAAAACAAACCCAGTCGTTCGGCAGGAGAACTAAGGAGCATATTGTTTATCGATTTTGCTTGATTGCATCACTTCCGTGAAGTAATCCAAGATCTGATTGTTTACCGGATTAGAAGAGGTAACGGAAGTGGTACTACTTTCTAACCTCAACCATTTTGCCAAAATTCTTCGGGGGAAAAAGCAGACTCAAGTATTCTATCATGGGGGCAAAAACAGAATTCAAATTGGCAAGATATATGAATCAAAAAATTAAATAAAATTTATTAATGTTCTGCTTTTGAGAACACATGTATATAATTAAAAACTTGGATGCGCTCCATGTTTTAATATAATTTTATCTCAAAGATTCCGCAGCAGTATCTTTAGTAATCGGCAACAGGGGAATAGAGTCAGGATTGGCTGGTAGTCTTTGCTTGAGTAAATGAAACAAACACTGACCCCACTGGGCTCACATAGTTTGAGAGCTTTACTATCTTTTTGAAGATACCTTTAATCAGATTAACAAATCTTTGCAAGGTTTCTTTCCAAGGCTCTTTAGATTCTCATAGATTGGAGGATGAAGAAAAACGTACTATCATAGAAGTAATTTTCAGTAATACTCAGAATGGTTTGATCCTAAGAAGTATTGAATGCATCCCTTTCGTTGGAATCTTGGTCAAGAATTTTTAACTCTAAAAATATTTAAATGTAATATAGTTTATATGTGCAATTAAATATACTTCAAAATCTCGTCTGCATCTCTGAATTTTTTTTTTATAGATTGATCGATTAGATGCTAAATCATTCAAAATTTTAGTCTGTAAAAGTTGTCAATGTCATCATTTCTAGAGCACATTTTTCCATTTCTATGCTTCTTAAAAGGTGCAATAATTGTTGGATTGAGCAAACAAGACACACTCGCATACTGGGGTGACCTAAGTGCAAAATCATTCCGATAAGACCTCATCAATTGTCCTTCACAGGAATTCGGTCATCCTTTTCCTATATACAGGACACTTATTTTTTGCTCCTGTATGGATCTATTCCTTAGAAGGTAAGAATGCTGCAACCTTCGTAGGAGCTTCAGATTTTTAGTTTTCATGTGACATTGGTACATAAATTTTCTAAATTTTGTTTCATTGATGTTGTCATAAAAGCATTCTAAAACCTTTTGTACATGCATTTTTACTTTCGAAACAATTTAAAATACGCTTTTCAAAGCCTCAGAAAATTAAGAAGACAATTACAGAATCTGCTACTTAAAATTTTATTAAATCACAGTTCTAATGGCAAAACTCTAACAGATATCTTTAACGCAAACAATATTAAACCTTTCAAATTTGACTTTATTTCTCTCACGAAAAGGAGTCGAGGAAAATATTTTCAGAAGTAAATATTTTTCTAAGAAATTTTTGTAATTGGCAAAGGACCAAGATAACAGGTTTTCCGGTCAGTATACATTAATTTTATTATCAGATTTTAGTGTTCGACATTAAAATCCTGACTTCGTCGCCCTTGCAGGTAGGGAACAGAAAGGTGTGTTTCTGATTTTCAAGACCATAGTCTAGCGTAACAGATTGATTGTTGATAAAAACAGTAGAAAAACAAACCCCCTCTACGTTTCTGATTCAATAAAATGATAAACCTTGATGTTTACGCCTCTTAAGTAAATATAATAATTATTTCAATGAGCAAATACTGTCGTGAAACTTTATGTTTTTGAAATTCATTGCAGGCGGAGCTTGTGGGCTTTACTATTATTAACATACATTCGATGTTAACGGATTTACATGAGCATCTAACTACGACCTTGACGTCACAGCAAAACGGAAGGTTAACCATGACCGCGCGATGACTATATAAAAGTGTTTCCTCCTCATCAAACATGAAAGATCGCATCATTCAGCAGACGACAACGGATTTACAGAAATAATATATGTAGGAAAAGATGACACGAGACACAGACGACAATCGAAAGTGTAGAGAAGAGAAAGGGAGATTAAGAATAATCATTCAAATTTTAGTGGATTTAATTTTACTGTTAGCAGGTAATTATTTGTTGTTAAATCAAATTTTAACCATTAATGTAAGGTACGTGTTATAATCTAGGGCAAATTAACAGATAAAAATTTTATACATGTATTGTTTGAATAGGTTTCATGTGGCGATAATAGTATATGGCCTGTCATTTTTTTTTAAAAATTGTATATACGTAATATTGTTTTAAATGAAACTGGCATTTGCAGCTGTCAGAAAATGGCAGAATGTGATCTGTGATCTACAAAAAACATGATGAACAAAAACTCGTTGAAAGCTTTCGCCATCAATTTTTATCGATAATTTTTGTTTAAAGAAGAAAATCAGTAGTTTTTATCGACCACACGTGCTAGTAATTGATAATGATATAACAGCGGCAAGCGTTTAGAAGTTTTAATTGCTTTTATTTTACCTATTAAAGTCTGCATCTCCTTTTTACCGTTTCAAAAGTCAAATGATTATTTTAAAGTAATTGTATAATATTTGAATAATGAATAAATGCATTGAAACTAGAATGAATTCGTTTTTGGGTTGATATTCCTGGGCTTACAAATGAATTACCGATGTTTTCATTACAATGATGTATGGGGGAAACTAGGTAAACAAGCACAGGAGAGACAAGGTTCCCATGTTAATGAATGCATTTAGTGCACGTGGATCTTCATTAGCATTACACGCTAATTACTGTTAATTAAAACAACGTTCTTAAAGCACGATTGTCTGAAGTTAGTTCAAAATCCAGCTAAAATTTCTACAGATGTATGGAAAGATTTTATGTAAACAGGGATGTTGTACGTAAACTAATTTTTTATTTTTACAATCAGGAAACCTAAATAAACACGTCTCTGAGTAAATATAAGTACGCACTTCAATTACATGAATCATAACAAATATGTGCACATATATTTTCATGTGATTTAATTAAGCTACTAAAAACTATATCTTTTCTTCCTTAAAATCTAGTTTTAATAGGTCATACGTTAAAAAGGGAACTGTTCTATTTTTTCGAGATAAAGAGCATGAAATTTAACTGAAATCTTAAGATTCGTAATTGTGTATGCACAAACATAAGTATTGTAATTTATACAAGTACGCTTTGGTGATTATAAAGTCACATCAACCAATGCCCACCTGTGGATGTCATTTGTTTTATGAATGATATATGATTTTGTATAGCTCTCTGCATGGGTTTACCACAATGTTAATAGTTTATGTCATAAAAATGAATGATACACATGCAAAGAAAATCTTAATAATATCTATAGCTATGGAATCCTTAAATCATCATTTTCCATGGTTAAGCAGATTATCTGCTGAGTTTTTATCTATTTCATCTAAGTCAAAATATGTTAATATATTTTCTTAATTATTTTAGCGTGCAAAGCCATGTATCTATTTCAAATTTTGAAAAAAAATTAGTGAGGTTAGCATTATCAGATATTTTCACGGTGAAATATTTCAGAATTCATATCAGGCTCTTTTTAAACATTCTGCTGTTATCTTTTTCAAGTGAACGATATTGACAATTCATGCAAATTTTAATTATTGTTTTCGAGTACCCAACCTCAGTCACACGATGGAGTGCACTCGAGAGTCAATATGCTTCATTTGAATTACGAAATATGATTTTTGTTGGTGTGTCTTGAATCATAAATAACGCGATTAAGGTTCGTGTTAAATCAAAATCAAAATTCATACTGCGGAAATTCAACAGGAAACATCATTTAAAAACATGAAAAAAAAGTTACCATCAAAATTCTTGTAATTTTGCTAAAGAAACGTAAAAGATAAATGATACAAAAAGTAATTTCATGTAAAAATAGAAAAAAGGGTAATGTGGAAAGACACACAATCAAACAAATGTATTTGTGGTCAGAATGAGGATGTATATAATTTTTTCTTTGTTTGTAAAAGATATGCAAGAGCAAGAAATAATCTTTTTGACAAACTTTTTTTAACTAGACGAATCGATTCTAATAGACACACATCTGTTGTTATGGGGTACTGACACTCTATCTTATGATATGAACTGTCTTATATTTTCAGCAGTTCATAAATTTATCAATGAATCTGGAAGATTTGATTAACATTTCAATTTATTTATATTATTTGTCAATATTATACACTTTATTATGTTATTATTATGACAACTGTACTAACTGCATCAACTTTACTAACACCAGGAGAAGAACTTGTAAGTTGCAAGAACTTGTTTCTGACCCTTTTGTGTTAAACAATAAAATATGTTCAAATCAAATCAAACAAAGTATTTTTTGCTGATGTCATTTTCTGAACAGCTTTGTTTAATGGGTAGTATGATTTCTAAATTCTCTTAAACCATGATTTTTTTTTTCTTTACATGCACATATATCAATATTGATTTGCTCTTTTAAAAATAAAAGAACTTAAGTTATAACTTGAGAACTAAAATCACATCTAACCTCCATAATCATCCTAATTCCCTTTGGGTATCATTCAATGATATATATTGTACACCTTGTAGGTAAACATTATTTCCAAATTTATGACATTCAAGTGTAATTAAGTATTGACTTCTCCAAGCAGGTATCAATATAATAGGGAGACCCCTTGCAATTTTTATAAGGAATATTTTTATAATAATTTATATGAAAATGTGATTGTCTACAGAATTGAAAAATCTTTAGACAATCACATTTTCATTTTTAGAACAAGAATTAGAATAAAGTTTGATAATATCTACATGTATTATAACTTCTATAAATATGTGTAAGCAAAGATTCCATCAATATAAACAGTATAATAAAGTTTGAGCATTTTTCAAGCAGTTCTTTTAAAAATTAAAGAATGATTTAAGGTGACATTCTTGCATTTTAATATAATTTAAAGAATTAAGGTGGTATTTCCTTGCAGTGGGAGTTCCGGTTATTGTGTCCTACAATGGAGGCATTCCGCCATTCAAGCGTGGTTTTTTCTGTGACGACAATTCCATCAAGTACCCGTATGTCGAGGACACCATTTCCGATGCTGTACTTATGGGTGTTGGATTCACAATGGCGTTTATTCTGGTAAGAACACAGCCTGAAGCACGTAAAGCCTCTTTAGTACGCTGACGTTAAAAACTAAAAGGGTTTGTTGAGATTTTTATCAGAGATTAAAGTGGCCACACTTAATTTCAATCTGAATTTCCGTTCAAACTGTTCTGTGTAAATATCTTTCTGCACGTTTGAAAACCACAGCTTCTTCATGTATGCTTCATACACTTCAATATTCGGAAGCGATTCAATTCTATTGGGTGCCAATTAAATGCACTTTTTGCAATGTCTGGAAAAGAAATCGAGTGTTATAGAGAGCGAATTTCTAGGAGGTATGTGCTTGAAAATTCTTAATTTTGTTATCCTCTGTAGATAAACTCTCCTTGCTTATGACTTTACAAATATTCTGGATGAAGATTAAATAGTAATTAACCAAGGTAAAAAAGACCATTTGTGAAGGAGTTTTTAAAAAAAATATGCCAGAACTTCTAACTGGGATAGAAAATATAAAAAAAAGTATCTGGTACGATGTTCAGATAAAAAAAATATTGTATCCTCTCTCAGAAAAAAGCACTAACTCTGTTTTAATACTTTCTTCAATTTCATATTGAAGGTAAACATTTTTAAAATGTATATATTTTATTTACAAATAGATTCATAAAACTGATAGATATTTGTTATCAGTTAGTTACATGCATGCATTACGTCGCCGATTCGAATTCAACTACGGGACTTGTAGACCGGTCCTTTGGATGAAACCGTAACCAAGGTCCCGTGTCCCAGCTGGCACGAAAATGATCCCTCACTACTCAATGGTCTTAAGTGTCGGATATAGGACAATATTCGCAGCTCTCCACCGGCAAATAGTGACATCTCCATATGAGTGAAATACTGTCGATCGAGAGGGCAGAGGCACGTTAAATAACATACAAACAAACGTACATATACATATCTTGATAAGTATAAATTTTTAGCTTGGGTATTCCGATGTGTCTCAAGGATAAAAGTGACTTTAGGAGTATATATTCTAAAGTCAAAATCAAGTGAATCCCTTACCCTAACCTTAACCCCGAATTATAAAATTAATAGTTATAGGAAAATCTAGATGTAACTGTGTGTATTTTGTCAAACGACTGTTTAAATCTGACGCATAGGTGAGTTATCTGTTAGACTAAGTATACTTTCGTTAAGAACTGTCCAAAAAATAGATAATTGTACTCTAGATATCTGAAAGTGTTATTCCCCTTATCAAGTTACAGTCACTTTTAATGGATTCAGTGGTTCTTCGAGGCAGAAGAACAGAAAAAAATTACATTGAAATCATTCGATAATTTTTATTACAAAGCACATTATTTCGTACTGATGATGCAAAGACAATTTTTCGTGTGATTATTTATATAACATTTAAGAATACTTTCTGCACACTACAAAATACTGTTCAAACAAAAATATTTAAAGAACTAGAATCAGTTTCACATTAGCTTTGCGCAGTGGCGGTACCATAGCCAATGAGGTTCATCCGAGGCGTGGTTATTGCTAGTTGAAAACTATACCCAATACCCCGCGCAGTGGTCTGAAACATGACCGCTAGCGCAATTTTTGAACGCTCCTACGGGGGCAATTTAACATTTAAGGAAGACAACTTTCATTCTTGTCATATATGTTAAAATTGTTTAACGAGTTTTTTTCTGGGTAACGTGATTTCTGTAAATATCCGTGATGGTTTCTTTAATTTTAAATTTTACTCAATTCCAACAATTTTTTTAAATAATAAAATACAATAGGCCTTGGAAGGTAGCATAAATTAAAAATCTTTTTCGAACCAAAAAATAGAAAACTGCATTATCAGTTTTTATCATGAACTTGATATCTGTATACGGAAGGATTGTTATCCGTTACAGAGAACCGAATCACGATCGGCAGGGGATGCTTACTCTCCATGGCACCTGATCCCACCTCATATGTTTTAGAGGTCCGTGTTAGCTCTGCCCCTGATTTGTATGGTTTGATAGGCTTTTGATCTTGAATGCCATTCCTTATATTGATTAATATATACATATATATATATATATATATATATATATATATTTTTTTTTTTTATTTTGCTTGAAATATAGATTTTGATGCATGTAAAATTTAATATTCATTTTAGGGAAATAAATTTTGAGCTTGAATATTCCCTGATTTCCGTGTCCTATATGTACATGTATCTCAAGGATTAAAGTGTCTAGGTTCAGATCAAATGTAAAAAGTTTGAGGAATCTACTCGAAACATTTTTTTGGCAAGCAACTGATTATATTTAACACATATAGGTGAGTTCTCTATCACTATATTTTGCTGATAACTGCCCAAAAGAAATTGAATGGGTTTCTATTTCTTCGAAAGTGTTATTTCCCTTATCATTTACATGTTCTATAAATAGTTTTCTATGCTTTTCGGACCAAAATTTTATGTTTATAGATGTTGCTTACATTCAACAAATTTTATCAATACACATTATTTCGCATTGATGATTCAGATAAAGTATTTTCTTTGAGATCTTTTTATCAATATGAAGGAAAACTTCTACACACTACAAGGTGTTGATTAAAGGAAGATATATAAAGACCTAAAGCCAGTATAAAAGTTAGCTTTGCGCAGTGGCGGTACCATAGCCAATGAGGTTCATCCGAGGCGTGGTTATTGCTAGTTGAAAACTATACCCAATACCCCGCGCAGTGGCCTGAAACATGGCCGCTAGCGCAATTTTTGAACGCTCCTACGGGGGCAATGCAAAAAAATGTAAAATGGTAGAAAACAAACTTTCTTTCATCACTGAATTAAGACTTTAAACAAACATTTGTCTTTTCTACAAGTGTAAATTGTCTTCATTGTTATACTAAATCAAAGGATACTCAGATTATAAATTGGTAACTTTAATTAAAAATCTGTAATACATATATACTAGATCTTGCCTTACCTTACGCAGATAAATCCTGATTTGCATTTTTGCATGTGATCTAAAACTCCATGTGTTCTCTTTTCAGGTTATTCTTGTTGAAGTACCCAGATACCTGTCATCTCGGCTGCCATTGACGAAATCTCAAGAATTCGTAATCTGTATCAAGTCTATATGTGTGTCCCTATTTGGGATCGCCATCACAATGGGATTTGTGCAGTCTTTGAAGTATTCTGTTGGTGCACTAAGACCGCATTTTCTAGATGTCTGTAAACCTAACCATTCTGCATTTAACTGCACTCAGGGGTGAGCTTATGTTTAATTTAAATTCCTTTTTTTAGAAACAAACTGGTCAATTTGTGCTTAAATCATAACATTTTAAACTGCTGCATACAGAATAATCTGGCTAAAGAGAAATAATTACGAATTTTTCTTAAATTATCCAAAGAAATAATTTTGAAAAATTTAAGAAAATTCAGAAATTAATTCTCTTTGGCCAGGTTATGTATGAAGCAGTTTAAAATGTTATGATTTAATTTTTCTTTTCATTAATGGTGCTAAAATTTTCCAAGTATCAAACACATGTAAAATATTATCTTATTTCTTTTTTCTCTCCAGATATATCACTCAGTATACCTGTACGGAGACAAAATTTAGTGACTCCATTCTACGACGGAGTAGGACCTCGTTCCCTTCCGGTCACACAGCATTCTCCATGTATATAGCCGTGTACTTATCTGTAAGTCTATACCGCAGTATAGGACACAATCAACTGTTAAATTCAAAATATACATGTATATGCAATATAATACTATTCCACAGACATCATGTAAAACTTTCATGAATATATTTATTTAGATATTGTATTAATGTAATCCGTGTGACTTTTAAGGCTATTTTTTTAGGGGGTGGGGTTCAGTTTGGATTTTGTTGATTTTTTCTTTTTTCTTTTCTTTTTTTTTTTTTTGGGGGGTGGGGCATTTTATGATAGAGCATGAACAATATCCAGTATCGGCAAAAAATGCACGCGGAGGCAGTATCTTAAACATTGTTGAATCTAACACGTACTTAAAACACTTGACACTTGATGGAATGTGACACAGTTTGACATAGTATCATTTGAATCCTCCTTTTTAACCTTACTTTACTTCAATGGAATTAGTTTAATATGTGTTATATAAACTCCTCCTGTTAAGCATTTTGTTGAGGGTTGACTTGTCATCGCAAATATTTGACTTTGATACTGACATGCTGTACTTTGTTCATGTACGGGGCATGATTCGTATTTAAGTGGAATTTTTTCTCTTGCGCATATAGATCTATTGGGATTCTTATTTATATGTTCCTGGACAAATGAGTTAACTTGTTTATCCCATTTATAAATATTTTGTTCATGAGTAACATTTATAAAATCTCTCTTTGATAAACCTCATGTCACATAGTGTGTTTTACTAAAATTGTGCATTTGAAAAATATATGATATATTTTACATTTCTTCCCAACAGCTATACTTTGAGGTTCGATGTTACTTTTGGTTTTCCCGCGCTTTGAAGCCTCTTCTTCAACTCTGCTTCTTTTTGTTCTCCATCCTGGTTTCAGTGACCCGTGTCCAGGATCACAAGCATCACCCTCATGACGTCATAGCTGGTTCAATTTTAGGCATCGTCATTGGACTTTTTGTGGTAAGCACGCAAATACAATCTTCATGATATATGATAAGCACTCGTCATATTAAAAAATGATGTTAAAATACTAGTCTAAGGTACAATTCATGTAAAGTTTACCTCCAACTCAAAAAATATAAAGTTTAGTATGATCAAATGACCTTGGCACGTTCGAAGCTTGCTAAACCACAGAGTGCCTCGCAGACACCTTAAGGAGATTATCAGTCTGAGGTAGATTATAGGCTTCTTCCATCTAATGATGTGGAAAGTCTGTGTGATTAACTTGGTGTTATTGTCCGTGTATTGCTGGATTCAGGGATTGTTTTTTGTGTTTTTACTTCCAGGAAATTAATTTTATCTTTAGAAGGATACTTGATATACTAGCAGTCTGCAAAGAGTACCCCCATCCAATACATGTAGAATTAAATTAATTTCAAAAAATGACGAAGCAAAAGAAAACGATATTAGCATTGAATACCTTATTAATAAATTTTTTGGTCACTCTCATTCAAAATTAAATTTATTTGAAACTTCCTTGTGCAACAGGTGTAAAATGTTGTACATTTCGTCGGGCTTTTCTGTTATCCAGCATCAATATGGCATGATAGGAAAGCTTATTTGCCTTCATCTGTGGGTTAAAAAAGGATGGTGATGAAGACAAATGGTTTTTAGAAGCTATACAGATGTTTTCTCGCGTTTGAAGAAACCTAATTACAAAGATATAAACACGTTACAGCTGATCGACGGGCGCATGTGCGCGCTAAAATATTCCCTTCAAAACTGCTGAAGCTAGGTCTTATTTTTAGAAATTTTCTTGCATCAAATTGCAAAAGTTTTCGAGTAAAGAAAATATTTGTAAAAACGTGTTTTCAGATCTTATTTTGACTTTTTGTTACTGTCAGTTACAGCTAATGTATGTCAAAAAATGTTGTCATTGCTTTTAAAGAAAATGAAAAATAACAGTGGTTGTGTGATAATGCATCTATCTTGACATTTTAGCATAAACAGTTTTCTTTGATTCAGCATATATCTGATTCAAAGTTTATCTTTAAAATGTTTCGCGATGAAAGCTGTTACTAACTTAAAGGCATTCATCTTTAAATACATTCATTTATTACATCGCCTTTCACATGCAGGTTTCATATGCATATATCATTTTTTAGTTTTTAAACTATTTTAAACTAATTTTATTATATAACAAAATAAAAATAGGCTAATCTAAGATCAGGAACCTATAATTCATAGAAAGTCCGGAAATCTTCAACTTAAGATACAATTTATCTTATATATAATAATCTTATATGTTCGTATGTAACATACTCATATTCTAGAGAGGGGTTTATATCCTCTTAATGTAAAGAGATCTCAAAAATCCTAAGTTCAAGATATTATAATCTTTAAGGTTAATATCCGCATGAACGTGTGCAAAATCGTCTTTTTTTCTCCAAGAATTAACAATCGAAAGATGTTACATTATGTTGCTTAAGTTTTATGGTTTCATGTCTTCCTTTCGCCGCAATGGTCTTCATCTTTGTCTGGAATTCAGATTAATTATTAAAGATTTATCACTTATCGTAGCTTTTTGTGTATTGAAGACATATAAATTCCTTAATTCTTTCTCTTTCTTTACAGTTCAAAACTCTTGGAGAAAAAGCTGCAAGGTCGCGAGAGATCGGCTTGTTTGCACCATTTCTCAAAAAACAAGATTCAACATCCGAACCAAGAACTCCAACACCTTTACTTCAACATGATAGAACCGCGTTTCTGAGATTAGAAAGCCAGAAAAGCATTTGCAATGGCAACTATGGATTTTCAAATTCTCCTTCAAGTCCTTCAATAACAACAGAAATAGTGGGGAGAGATGGACTTCCGGTCTGAATCAATCTTACATCCGGTCTAAATCAATCTACTAGCAAGATGAACTCTAACCGATGTAACATGATTGTCTGGTAGCAACCGTTGCTTCCTCTGAACTTACTGGAGACAATGTGCAAAAAGATAAAGGTTGACAGACATTTCAGATGCCTACTGGTTCGGGTGAACCTATAATTGCTTATACGGTTCGTAATCCGAATTTACTTGGCAGGACATTAATTTTATGTGGGCACACTTACAGTATATTAAAATACAGTTATGAGTTTTTCCGTCCATAAGTAAATCCATGCAGGGCTTTATTACATGTTTAATGTGAAATATTAAATAAGTATGAAAAACTACACCTGTACAACATTACAGAAGCTGTATACGAATTTATGTGCGAATTTGTACATTTTGCTTGTTGTGACGAATAAATAAAGAGTGTTAATTGATATGGGTTGTTCAAATGAAGAAAAATATTTCGTATATTACACAGTCTCTGTACATGATAATCAGAAGTTTCCTGATGTTCTCTGTATTGGATATTTCTAATTTTTAAATAACGGTTGTACATTGCAAGAATAAGCTTTCAATAAACAAAGGCGGATCCAGGGCCGGCGCCCTTCGTTTGAAATTTTTGTATGTAAATCTTAATATATGTCCATTATCCTAAAATCAAGGAAAAACCCCCCCCCCCCCCCCCCCCCCGTTTGAAATTTTTGTATGTAAAACTTATATGTCCATTATCCTAAATTAAAGGGAAAAAACATTTTTTATTTGTAAGAACTTGTCAGTTTCAGAGATATAGAAAAATTGTGTTTGTTAAAAAAATTCTTTTCACAAGTGTTGTAAACATAATAATACTAGATTGGAACGTAAAATGATTTTGTATTGGCCAGTATCCCGAAGATGTCCAAAATTTGGACTTTAATTTATTTATGAAGTCATTTAGCTTACAAAAGATTATTATTGATTAAATCTGTCAGAAATATTGCAGCAGGACATTGGAAATCAAAAGTTTACCACAATTTTTCAATAAATTATAACGCATACCTTACATATTTTTATATTATTTTTTTTCTATATATTTTAAGCTTCACTGGTCGTAAACTAGAATGGTTATCGTGTTATTTTAAGGTGTCCGTTTAATGTACATTTCTTTCCGGAGTGTTGTACAGTAACCCTATTCATTGAAACTTGTATACAAGTGTATACAGTAAAACCTTTTAATCCGAATATTGTATAACCCGCCATCTTGTGTAATATTTGTAAACTTAATGTGCCTTGCAGCAAATTCAATTGTTTTAAGTCATATCTAATCCGGAATGTTTTTAATACAGCCAATTTCTTTGGAACCAATGTTGTTCGGATTAGACAAATTCTTAAAAAAAAACTGCAATAAATTTTGTGAGATCTGAATTGCCTTCTGCACAAAAGCGATGGAAAAATAATTATATCGCATTAAACCCATTTGATAAATGCAGAAGGTTTCGATCACAGGGGTCGGTAATATTTTATACCTACTGAAAGGTCTTGTCGCAATGAAAAGTCAGAAGACACATATATAGAAAGTCTATCCTATGAAAGCCCTAGCACCAACTGCTCAACAAAAGATATAATACATGGTTAAAGTGTGATAATTTCTTGTGAAGTTTCAAGGTCAAACTCTAAGATCAAGGTCAAGAGTCAAATTTTGTGGTACCCAAAGAAAGCGGGTTTTATCATAAGGAATACGCCTGTGAAATATGAAAGCAATATTCCCACCCATTCAAAAGTTATGAGCAAAGTTTTTGCGGACAAACAGACAGATGGACAGAGGCAATAGTATGTACTTCCGAATCTTTGATTACGGGGGCATAAAAATATTTGCTTCAGTATTGGGATAAAGTTGAGGCTCCTGGAATTTTGCTTCAGGGAGAAACACAGAAGTTGAAATCGCTAAAAAGAAGTTGTGGACCTGCGAAGGTAACAAGCCAACTTTTGAAAGCAAAGATGGGAGGCAACAACTGCGATGAAGTCGAGGTTTTTATGGTGATATTATATTAGTATCACCCCTTTAAGTAACCTGCCATAACCCTTTTGCTTCTTTTCCATCGCACTTCTCGACTTTCGCATTTGTAGGAAATAACGTAGTTAAAATTCAGCGATGTCTCCAACGATCTCACTCGCTCCTCAAGCAACCCATCATTTAAACATCTTTCAAATGTATCCATTTGTCTGAATATCCATCATCGGGGTGTCCGAGTGGTGTTCAACAGATAACGGCCGATCACGTTCGAACAAACATGGTCATAATGTTTGTATGAGCGATGTAAAAAGATCATCATGGAACATTGTTTTATGATATTCACTAGGCCATGCATACTTTTATCATGAAACGCATTGGTTTCCAAATACGCTGGATAATACTGATACTTTAAAGACTATACGCCGATGTCCATGACCTTCACTGTTCACCGATTAAGTTTACCGGCCGGGAAATGTGACCTAGGCATTAACCTGCCATAACCGTTGTGCTTCTTCTCCGTCGCATTTGTTAACTTCGCATATTTGTCTCTCGAAAGCGAAGACATTAAATCTCATTTGTCTGTCGATCTGTCCGTCACAAAAACGTTAACCATGGTCATAAATTTGAGTGAGAATAGAAAGGGCTTATATTTTCTACATGCATATTACCTATGAAAATTTGTAAATAATAATGTGACCTTCACCTGTTCAGGTATCTTGACCTTCATGTTTGACCTAATTTTTAAAAAATTAACTTGGATTACTCTTAAATGATATATGGTAGGGAGTTCAAATTTGACACATTATACCATAAATAAGCATACGGCATCGCATCCACTAAAGCACTGAAAGCGAGGAACCACAATTCATGAAGGTCAGGGCAAAGGGGTAAAAAATTATAGTGAAAGGACTTTTACTTAGCGTCAAGTTTTTTTCGAATTACTTACAAGAAATAAGAATAAGCTATAGAATAAGATGAAAATAATATTATAATGTTCTAATTACAAAATGGCCCCAAACAGACCTGAATGATTCTCGGTAAATGATTTGGGAGTACTTCTGACGTGTATCATTCAAGATTAAAATCATTTCTTTGCATTCTGGTGATATCGAGTCCGATCCTTAAATTTTCGTTTAACGTGTCCGATCAAATTTTAAAAGATTATGCAATGACCACATAAAGACTTCAATAAAGCTCGTATTTTATTATTATTTTATGGAATATGAATGAAGCAAAGAGAACTGATAACTGAACGTCAGGATAAACTTTGACTTTTTTACATTTTACGAGCTGATTGCTTCGACTGATTCTGGTTTCCAAACATAAAGTAGAACCAGTTTTCCACAGTAAATGCCATTCTAAATTTTTTTGCGTTGTCATTTGATCTAATTCTAACCTGTTTTATTCAGGGCTTTTTTAAAAACATGATAGCTTGTGAGAATTGTGAATTGGGCAAAAGGTAGGTTCGTGAGAAATACTTTTTATACTGCAGTGTATCCTAAAATAATTATATTTTGATATTTTTATGGTATTGATTTTGCCTGGCTTTTTAAATCTCTTCGTTTTACAGAAACTTTACTCTTCAGTGGCCTATCACAATTTCGTTTTTGGTTCTAACTTCGCATCTAATCACCTAAAAAATCAATGCTCGTTTTTTAATGTAATTTTTATCAATTAAATATTCTATATCAGATTTTTCCTTCTCTGAGGGCAAACGAAGAAGGTAAACTGAGATGAGTAACTCACTTAAATCCAGACAAAATCTTTATTATATAATCATCTATACCAACCAAGGTTTCTTTCCATCAGAAAGAGCAGTTACTTCTGCTCAGAGGGAAACCTATGGAGATGATATAAAGAGTAAGGAGTAAGATAATTAACAGATAAATCTACTTTCGTCTTTAATTAACCTACTCTTGAAGACAGCCAAAAGTATCCAAGGTTGAGAGTTTTTTTTAATATAATATGCTATCCTCATAACCAAATACCAGCATCTATACTATCTTAATTATATGGTTCATTAAAGGTTTCCTTGTGCTTATTTTGATCGTTCTGGTTTAGTATCAGAGAGTATGAATTTTCATAAAAAGATAATTTTAGCTTACATTTTGGATATTTCAGTTGTAATACTATGATGTGAATATGTCATAGAAAAATATTTTATTTAAAAAAGGCCAAAGAACCCTTGGGGAAGGGAACACTTGGGGGGGGGGTGGGTCCCAAGCACCTGTGATTTATTAAAGATTTCGGACAGAGATGAAATAAGGCTACATGTAAGTTGCGTTTTACATTACTGTCATGATTTGGGGAGTTCTCTACGATATCTTCAGGTTTGCCATACTTTACCGATATGAGGAAAGATATATCCGCGTCATCAAGGCATGTGTTTTATTCTTACATCAATAACCTTTGTTGATCGAATATTTATTTTGATGGGCTCCCTTTAAGAAACTTAAATTTTTGAAAGACGGCATTGCTGTTGCTATCCTAAAGATATCTAGCTTTATCTAAATTTCAAATATAAGACGGTCGACTAAAATATTTTAGATACTTGCACATTTTTTACAAGTTTTATCGGTTTGATATCAAAATTGATATAAAACTTTTGGCTGAATTTAGATAATAAATGCCTCTTTTTCTCAAATGGAATCCATATCGTTATTATTGAAGGTCAGAAACACCCAGATGTTTCGCACATTTAATATGATGTATATGTTTTGGAGGGTGGGTTCTATTGCACAAAGATTGATATAAATTAAACGATCCTCTAAAATACTGAAAAATTCTGGCACTGGTTTACGAAATCATCAAAACACTCAATTTAAACTAGGTGTAATCTTTTAGATCGTAAAGTAGATACAAGTGAAAAATATTTAGGGTGTTAGTCAAGTTGTTTATTTATTTCTTCTTGTCGATAAAATTTGTGTTTCCTCTGTGCTATTTCTTTTCACCGCTTAAAAATGAGAGTTTTAAAGCAATAGTTATTGATGTGATCCATTTTGAACTTAGATGTGATCATATACGAGGGTTGTCCCGTAAAATCGTGGACAAGTTGTCTAGTGTGAAAAATAAACATCACTGCGTTCTGAAATTTTCACTATTATTTAGTACATATTTTAGTAATATACACGGCAACTTTCAGATAAATAGATGCATAAATAAACAATTTATGAGATTTTATACCCTGTATTGTATCACCTTACGGCGCATGGATTATAACGTCAAAGTGTCTAAAACAGCGTCACGTTTTATCTTTGCTGAAAATGAAGTTGGATGAGTCCGACATAAATTTAGGAATTTCATTGATACACATTCTATAGTCTCCATAAATAGCCGAAGAAGCAATTGGCACCCTCATGCGATCTTCTGAAGATTTATAGTAAGTTAGGACAATATTCTCACCATCATTAACTAATAGAAAATCTCATATAGGCGGTCTACTGTGACAGCGTCCTTTTCTATTACATGAGAAGTTTGTCCGTATGTTCTGTACTCCCCAGGGACTCGATCAGAAAAAAAAAAACTTCGCTAAGAAAACTCCTATTTCATTTATATACTTGAGATATGGTGATATTTTTATAATTTTTTTTTCTTCTATGGTCATTTCAAGTCTCTAAAGGTGTCATTACAACATAGAAATAAAACTGAACTGTTCTCCGGTGCGCCGTAACGTCATAAAACGTCGCCATTTTTCGTGTGTTGTGTTTACCACTTTCCAATTTCGAGTGCTCGAGAAACTGCCAAAAATTAAGCAAATACCTAAGATTTTTACAAAGACTACAAAATTGATGGTGGAATTGAATTCGGATAATTTTAATCCAAATCTTATGTATTTAAAACTTTTATTTTGAATTCAAACTTGTGTATTCTTTAATAAACCATTGGTTTTTTGACCGTGCGCCGTAGGACAATACCTCATGCACATTCAAGCATAATAAAATCTTTATTTTTGCCTATATTTTATCAAAAAAATTATCATGCACTTAAATATGATAAATAAACATTCCCTGAAATTTTCAGTTTAGTGCGCCCATTACTTTTCGAGAAAAACGCTTTGTCCACGATTTTACGGGACAACCCTCGTATACTCATCATTCAGCATTTCTGGTTGTCACAACAGGCATCTTTTAAAATTGCTATAATTTCTAATCAGTCAGAGATTTTATAATGCTCAAAATTAATAGAAGATAAAGAAATTAGGAAATTTACCTGCTTAGTTTAATTTTTTATAGATTAAGCAAGTTTTCAAGTATCTTTGTACGGGTGTTAGAAAAGAAAGATAACTTTAAACCCCCTCTAAAACTTAACGATTCATTTACACTTTGTAATTTCCATAATTTTGGTAACCTCGGTCCCGATGTGTTTAGTACAATTCTCTGTAAGCCTTGGATTTTCAGTAAGGCGTTACATAATTAGCTTCTGAAAATTACAGACTCATTCACTGTTGAAATATTACATTGGATAGAAATGCGAGTGAATGTCAACAATTGTAGCAATGGTCCAGTGACAGCCTTTCGTATGACAAAAAGGTGGGGCTTAAGTCGTCTCATCGTTGTCGACAACAATGTCAAGTTTCTATTGTTATTAATTTCTTAACAAATGACAATCTATTTGCCATTTGAGAGATATTCATTACGTAGCGTCGAGAACGCCACGCGCCTTACTAAAAGTCCAAGGATGACAGAGAATTGTACGAAATTTTTCAAATACAATAACATGCATTCATTCAATGCGGTCTCTGAATAAAATACAACAGAAAATTGTACAGTTTTAGAATGTTTTAATATGTCAATTATTGTGACATCTTTTTTCACATTCTGTTGAATATGCAAGGTAACTCAGCATTTAACATAGACTCCAAATTCACCTACACGAACATCATAAATCAAACTTTGCTTGTTTATCATTAAGTTTACAACAAAAGTCCTAGTCTAGACTTATAAAAATAATGCTATATGTGAAGAGCAATAACAGATATTCAACAGAATAGATAATAAAAAGGTCATGGATTAAAATAAAAACATTGTCACACTTTGAAATTTTTCGTCTATCATCGCATTTTCGTTAGATGTGCAACATTCATAGAAACACAAATATACTTGCAATACACTTTAACAAAAATTCTTAATGGAATGTAATATTGTCACAATGATACAAAATAAAGATGAAATAAATAAATAAAATAAATTAACATAAAAACATTAAGTTAACTATCACTTGTCCACCATTCCATCTTGTAACTCAGAAAAATGTCAAACAACACACAATTTCCGCACTAGAACACTGGAGATCCGTCCTCCTCCTTGATTAACGGTTTGTCCTCAGGCGAGTCTTGTTTTGGTTCCTCGGAAAAACTCAGATCCACTGGTCCCTGCTGCTGAGACAAGACTTTCATGGCCGTCGCTAGGTCATCTGCCGTCTGCTGGTAATACGGCTCCTGGTAGCTGGCATGGTTCCAAGACGAGAATGGGTAAGAACACTGGCTGTATTCTTCTGGTTGACCAGGAAAGTACTGATACCCAGGGTAATACTGCTGTTGTCTGTCGTAAGTGGGTAACCAGGGATAGGCTGTCTGGTACACAGGAGGCTGGAATTGAGATAACTGGTCGTAGCTGTTCCACCGGCTGAATTGCTGATGATACAGGCTAGGCTCTGGAAAGTACTGTGGCTGGTGGGAGAGTTGCTGGCTGTACTGAGGATGCGGGTAGGCTTGAGAGGGTAGGTAATGCTGAAACTGGTAGAGTGTGGACGGGTTCTGCTTTGTTGTCTCATCTTTGTTCAGTGATGTAGTCTTGGCAGCTTTCCTGGCGATAGACTTCATCAAATCGTCCTTGTTCCTCCTACTCCACGTTGGGTTGAACCTTTTGCTCTGACGGGAGGCTTTCCCTGGTCTGATTGGCCCTGCAGCCTGGTCTTCGAAGCTGGTGTCGGAGAAGAGGGCAGGTTCTCGTGTTTCGGTGAGACTCTCGTTGTAGGATGCTGATGGGAACTCTTCACTGACTGTTGAAATTGGAGTAATGCTGAGAGGTACTGGGTAGGATGAGTCAGATTCCGGGCTGGAACTGCTGAATACATCGTCACTGTAAACACTGGATGTTTCGTTACGGTCACGATTCACAACACAGGAGAGTTCTCTGGTGTCGGCTGAAACAGTGCGTTTCTTGGAGGGTACGTGAATCTCTGGTACTCCTAGCTGTACGTGGAGATCCTGAGCCCAGTTTCCACGGCGAGCAACTGGTGTGTCTTGGAGCTTGAAGCAGTTCAGGGGTGCCTTGGAGATGTCCACATACCAAAGGTTCCCTTTACTGTCCGGATCTGTAGATCGACCTCCCTTCACGAAGCAGGCGTTGTGGGATAGATTGTGCCTAACGGAATCCTTCCAGCCTTTATAGGTGCCTTTGAAAAAGTCGAACATTTCTTGAAGTTTGTGGCTTACACCGCTGAGCGTAAGACATTTCTCTGGAGCTGAGTAAATAGCGTGTATAACCATCCCGGTGTAAGGGTATGGAGGCTTAGGGTGGCGCTGATAATTGGCGTGGAACCGGAGGGCGCTTTCGCTGATCTCTTTCGAACTCTTCTTCGTTGTCTTGTCTTCGCCGGAAACTGTTGAGTCAATGGGGTCAGAGGTTGCCATGGAGAGTCTTTTAGCTGCCTCGTTTACATCAAACTCACTCGCACAGTCAACAGAGAGACCGTCACTGGGTTGCTGTTGGTGTTGATACGAGTTGACGGGTTGAGCAAGATCGATTGGTTGACATAATGTTCCAAATACTGAGGACGGGGAAGTAGACTGGCTATATGACGCTGTTAAACCGGGAGTAGAGACAGCTGTGGCAGACAACGACGAGGATTCTTCTTGCGTCACACCTGAGGTAGTTGTTGACTGAGAACTGTCGATTTCTTTGGTATTTGCTGAAGCTGTTGAAGGCTGAGGTGACACACTGCTGGGTGGTGAATCATCAGATGATGAGAAGGAGCGCATGGTGAGGATTCTGTCTGCTTTTTCATCAAAGTCCAGAGGAGAAGACGGTTCCTCGTACTGCTGCTCCTCTGATGAAACAGGAGAAAAGACGCCGTACATTCTGTAAGTCTGAAAAGCAAATAGCAATCTTGAATTCACTATTTCGTGCATAATTTGATAATTATTATTATACATGATCTTCCATACTGTAGCATTCTAATAATTCAAAGAGTTTAGTAATATAGTTGTCAATTAAGTACATGAACATGATTAAAAGATTCAGCTAACCCCAAGATAAACGTAAAAATCGTTCATTTTTTTCTGCATTGGTAAGGGTTAAGAAAGGAAACTGACACGTCATTTCAGCAGCGGCTGACTTCATAGAGTTAGATACGTCATTAGCTGAAACAGCTCGTGAGAATTATCCATTGGTTGTCGAAAACTTCAAAAGAATGTATCTTAATTATGTTCCCCAAACGAAGTTGGGGAACATATTGTTTTTACTCTGTTTCTTATTATTATTATTCTTATTATTATTATTATTATTTTTCTTCCTGGGAAAATCTTTTCCGCGAGTGATCTTGTAAACTACACATCCGACTTAGGTGAAACCTTTTTAGGGTAAGTAGGCATGAAATGTAGATTTGCGGAATCAAGGTCATTTTGCGCGCACGTGCTTGCAAGAGCGCGCACGTGCAAAACTTAAAATGACCAATATATAATGGATATAACCGTAACTTTTCTATTTTGTGACGAAATGTTTTGAAACTTATAATGTAAGGATATATTAGTAGTATGCACAAGATGACATGGTCAAAATAGCAAGATCGCACGCGCAAGCACGTGCACTTCGCTTTGATTGGCTGAAACTAAAGTCTCAATATTTTTTTCTTTTTTGATAAAATCATTTGAAATTTTGAACATAGTCATACATTAGGGAGATCTACAGCCTTTTATATAAGATTTATCATGAAAGCATGTGCATGCACACGTGCTTGCAAGAGCTTGCACGTGCAACACGAGAAATGTCCAATATAATTGATACAGATGTAACTATTTAAATTAGTGATGAAATGCTTTGAAATTCATATTATAAGTATACATTAGAAGGATAGACAAAATGACATGGTCAAAAATGTAAGATCTCACGCGCATGCACGTGCACTTCGCTCTGATTGGCTGAAACTAAAATCTCAATATCTTTCTTGTTTCTTGTCATAATCCTTTGAAATTTTGAACATAGACCTACATTATTAAGGTTCTACAGCGTGATATATAAGAATTTTCATGAAAGCATGCGCATGCCCGCGTGCTGCAATCTGATTGGCTGAAACTTTAAATGGCTATATCTCCTTTGATTTTTGACGAAATGCTTTGAAATTTAAAACATAGTCATGCATTAGGATATACTACAATATGATGTAGAAAAAAAATCATGAAATCACGTGCATGCACGTGTGCTGCAATCTGATTGGCTTAAACTTGAAATGGCTATAACTCCCTTGTTTTTCAACCAAATAGGATGGGATTTAGAATATAGATATAAGGGACTCCTACAAGAAGGTATGGTCATCATGCACGTGCACGCACGTGCGTGCATTTGGAACGAGTGAAATGAAAAATACGTTTGAAAGAGTGATTTTTCATACTTTTGGACTGAATGCTTTAATATATTGTATATTAAGATATGTAGATAGTTTAGACAAGATGATATGATCAGAACGCACATGCATTCACATGCGCACGGGTGCAATGCTAAAATTTGAATATACATGTAATTGGTATCCTTCTGAGAAAACGTTGTGAAAGTTAAAAATGCACAGAGTTTGTCTTATTTAATGAAGCTTTCAGGGAATATGGCACCAAAAAGGAATTGGGGAGCGTTTGGGGAACATCTGTAACGGTTCCCGTTACAATTAGCACTAGTTATTTATTGCTTTGGGTTGAATTGAATGAATTTTTAAATGTATGTATTATTAAGTAGAATTTGAAGCCTCATGCTGAGTGGAACAAGATGCTCACAACGTTCACCAACTCTCTGTAACCCCACTCTATCTCCAGGGGTCATAATTTCTACAGTGTAAGAGTGATAAATTGATCATGTTCTCCGGATAGATTTTTTCTAAGTATTTCTATGGTTTGTAATAATAAAAAATTCCTATGGAAAATTTTTAACTTCAATGTAGTTCTACACTGTCCTATGGTACAATTTCAACAAAATATACATGATCCAGCAAAATTTCACTACATGATAAATAAGTCGTGGCGTTTCTATTCTTGAGAACAAGTATTCTTTCTATTCATTTGGTAAATCTTGCCCATAGTTGCCCCATCCTACCCTTGGCGTTTTGATTTGATCTAAATACTTTGTTCGCCTGTGAATTTGTTCAATATAAAAACACGACGCTATCTTTTCCAAACAGCCCCTACTGTGAAATAGTTTTTGTGCTATCTACCCATGGTGAAATAGTCATCAAACTATTCACCGGCAGCATTCTGTTTCCCTCGCTTTTCATCTCGGAAAACTTCTGGTTTTATACGGATTGTGACGCGTATATATTATGACGTAACAAAAGTCAGCATCGGTATAATATGGAATAACATAATTGTGTGTACTCTGGACTCCCAAAAGTTAACAAAAGTAAAGTCAGCATCGGTATAATAAAACACCTATTTACTGGCTATGAGGACAATAGCAAGTTTATCGTTCCCCTCGACAGCAAACTATTTCCCTCGGCTGCCTTGCTGTCTTGGGGAACGATAAACTTGCTATTGTCCTCATAGCCAGTAAATAGGTGTATACTATTATTTCAAAAGCAGTGGGATTGACAAATGTCTTGGCATCATGAAAAAGCCCTTGAATGACCTTCTTGTTCGAATGCAATTTCCAGCTGTGCACTGCGCACCATTTTTGCACAGATATGAAATTCTTGATCACTAAAGGGGTCTGTGAGATTGCCATAGGAGTCGTCCCCAAGATAAAAATCAAATAACAAACAGCATTGACTCTCACATATCCTAGTAATCATCTGATAACTTAATGTCCATACCAAATCCACTCCGCTTCCGGTTGACCCAGTTTTGTGGAATAATTTTCAAGTTATTGCACCTGTTAAACTTAATGTCGTGGTTATCTATAGTAAACATTTTCATGTTTGTTAATCTATTTGAAACAAATTTTCATGATTGAAATTCATAAGCTTTTTATTGTTTTTATTTTTAACAGATTTTTCTAAAGGAACCCCATGCAGACGCCATCCTGTCTGCTTTAGTTCGCTCTTCTAGCTTCAAACGCTGCATATGATGTAACTTTTTCCTGATTTTTTAATTAGTCCAAATGGAAAGAACATAAATACAAAGAAAATATTTTTTTTCTTCAAAAATGGAATAGACACGATTTTGTCTTTTTCTATGAATTGGTCACACTTCAATAAACATTGTAGTTATTTATAAGGTTAAACATTAATATGCCTTATTTTTGTTAAAGTAACATATCTATATATCAAATGCATCACAAACAGTTTTTTTAAAAGTAAAATATTAATTTTCTTAGGTGATGCGTTAGCAATTTTGTCCAGTGTATATTGTTTTTAATTGTATATGCTCCCTGAGGGCCCTTGATTGGTGAATAAATAAATATATATGCCTGTTTATACACTTATCCGTGCCAGATATATTTCAAAGCAAGGCATCTTTTCGTGTCTTGTGGTAATTGAGAAGTGTGTTTTCGAGATTCAATTGCCAAGTATATTAAAATATATTTATATACATGTCTATGTTTAAATTTTGTTCAACTCACAGAAAATTGTAAAATTAGCCTCTAAGCTTCAACATACCATTTTGAAATCATTTGAATTGAGGAGTTCTTCAAAGATTAAGAAAGCAAAATACAAAACGACACCTGGGCACAAGGTCATCTGAGCATCATGTAACAACTTTCCAACAATAAAATTTGGTTTGTGATTTAAACAAACTGAGGTCATGCCATAAAAAAGGTTCACAATTTTGAAAGAGGCACAATTGTTCTTCATAAATATACACGATCCATGCTTAGTTTGTTTACTTAATACTTGTACTCAAAGGCAGGGTAAAGGAACAAAAAATGCATTTTAACTAATCAGTACTAATCAGCAATAATCAAAAGTACCCCCATCACACAGGAACCCCTGACCCCAGGACCACACATTTCACAATTTTTTAAAGAAGACCACCTCACCTAAGCACTGTGGCTAGGAAAAAACAGAATTGAGTTCAGTTTTGAAAGGTTTAGATCTAAGTGGTCCCTTCCCAAATGGGGAGGTGGTATGATCCGAACAAACTTGAATTTACACTAAGGATGCAAACTTGAATTTACACTAAGGATGGTACATGACCAACTATTTAACATTGTGCTCCGAGCAACCTACCCCCCACCTCCTCCTCCCCGCCAGCCCCGAGGGTTCATGTCTAAATCTACACTACCTGTGCATGTTTCCATGTATGTGTGACGAATTACGGCTTTGCTGTTCTTGAAAAGAAAAAAATCCGATATATTCCTATGTAAAACTGTGCTCGTCCATTGTGGCTCCAACCTAACCCAGGGGTCATGATTTGAACAGAACATAAATCTATATTACCTAAGGATGCTTTTATCTGTTAACTGTTCTTCATCAGAAGATTTTTCAATACATGTGCATGTATATTCCTATGAAGTACTAAACTTTGATCGCCCTTTTGGCCCCACCCTTCCCTCGCCCTAACACAAGAATCCCTGACCCTGGGGCCATGAACTTTATAAACTAGTATTGTTAGAGGCATACTTGCTCATCATAACTTCATGTATGCATGTAGATAGTTTGTTTGCTACCCAAGAGCGGATAAGATTTTCAAAAAATTAATACATTTTCACTATATAATCAAAAGAGCCCCGCCCTAATACTAGAACCCCTGACCCTGGGGTCATTAAATTCTCAATTTTAGTAGAGACTCTTTTTTATCATAACTATGTAAGTACCTAGCCCCATCCTAACACTCGAGAACCCCGATCCTGGGGCCATAAATTTTACAATTTGGGTAGAAGACGCAATAGTTACTAGTATATG